TTCTTTGCTTTAAATACTTCATAATAGGGAGATATTAGGTAAGACAAACATCTGGTGACATAGAGAATTACAGACATGGTTTTCTTAATATGTACAGTGACTTTTATTTGATTGCAACACCTAAAATGTAGGCACTTTGACTCAACAAGGTAATGATAATTGTCTGGTTTAGGTACTGAGGCTTTCTGTACAGTGAATGGGAGACTTAGCTGCCCCACAAAAGTGAACCAAACCTATCCTCAACAGAGAGATGCCTAATGGTAGCTAAGAGGAACACTCTGCCCTAGGTGTGTTTAAACTCTCACTCAGAACTTAGACACCTGACGTGGACCTGCATAAAGGATGCTTTTGTCATGTCAGAAATCACTCAGGGGGAGATGCTTATGGGAATCAGAATGTCCTAAATGATAACAGCACTAGATTGGCCTCATCTTCCAGGGCCCAGGGGCCCAAAATTTTAGGCACTGTGACACAGCTGAGCAAAAGCAGATTAAGGATTCTTATTACATCACCCCCAAAGAAAGGCTTCCTTAAGACAAAGTCAGTATCATCTCTGTATCTGCTTTTACAAAAAGTGGGTTTAATACCCACGTCTGAATTTGGTTGATGTAAAAATTCACAGTAGACTGGATTGCCGGGATCAAGTTGAAAATTAAGTTAAGATGACAAAAAAGAATGTTAAAAATAGATTCCACCTGAAATAGTACACTTCAGTCAAGAGAGTCTTTGTGAAGCTACTGTTCAAAGGATTGCTGTATTGCTGGATAGGCAATTTTGTTGTTCATCATATATCAGAATTTGAGCTCTATAATCTCAATATTAACATAAAAGACTCTGTTCCACAGCACAGCAAGACCCGAGCATGCATAGAGCTGGTACCAATGGAGGGAGTTTTCACCAGTTCAACTGGCACTGAACTACACAAGGCTACCTCTCTATAACAGGAAAATGATGTGCAATTATATAAATTGCAAGCCTGCATATAAGGAATCAGTTCTTTTCCAAGTCTCTCCTGGTTTTCATGGCAACATGTTCTCAGTGGTGGTAGATGACAGAACAAGGGGAAATGGTCTCAGGTTGCAGCAAGGGAAGTTTAGGTTGGATATTAGGAAAAACTCCCTCACAAGGAGGTTAGTAAAGCACTGGAACAGGTAACTAAGAGACATGAATGCTGAGTGCCTGCAGGCAGTGGCATTGGTTGAAGCGGCGGGGGCATGGCGGCAGTGAGCGGGGATCTCCGCCCAGGGAGGTTTTTAAGCCATTGGATGGGGTGGTCTAGTTGGGGGTGGTCCTGCTTGGGGGTTGGACTAGACGGCTTCCTGAGGACCCCCTCTGATCCTAATTTTCTAGGATCCTATGACTCTCACTATTCATGAAAGAGAGCTAGGGCTAGGTGTTTGTCTCAAGGAAGATTCAGAAAATCTTAGAGGACATTTTGGATGAAAAACATTAGAGAGAATCCAAGATGGACAGAAGAAACTTGATAGGAGACTAATAGCCCAAGAACTTTGAACAAAACATTGTTGGGATGAAATTTAACCTTCTCTTCTCATAAGAAACTCACTTATATGATTTCTGGTTGTCTGAATGGATGGATCAGAAAATAAGGAATCTCCCACCAACTCTAGAAGCTTTCATCCCTAAAATCTCCCACTGGCTCTCATACCTTGGAACCACTTGTGGTTGTCTTGCATGTTATTTGGCAAAACATATTAACCTTCTTTTCTCATAAGAAACCCACCTCAACGATATCCGGCTGTAGTATGTTCAGAAGGATCTGGCAAGCTTCTAAGAACTTCGGGTGTTTTCATGTGCACATTTCTCTTGATTTCAACATTTCATTTTCATGCAGGATACTTCAATCAATATTCACATGCAACTAAATAGCTCCACATCCTCTCAAGCTTAATTCTGATCATGCTTATAAAAAGTTCATGTGTCATTTATTGACACAGACAGACTGAATGCATGCTGAATGTTACTCCTTTTGACCAAAGAAGTTTGCCAAAATTCAAACTCTGTAGGTTGCTCCAGGTAAGAGATTAAATTGATGATGGAGTCAGGTATTTCTTTGTTGCAGTTCTATTTATTTACAAAGTCTTGTTTTCTTGAAGATGGGAAGAAGATAAAAGGGACGCAAACTGCAGACCCAGATTGCTTTATAAGCAGTCTAACGGAAAAGATTTTAGAGGCTGACTTGTAATATAAAATCTGGCAATTAAGTACCAACCACACTGTGGCTCCAACATGCATCAGACTTAGGTAGCGAGATACTGACCAACTATTTTCATTAAAGGGTAAAAAGTAGTCAAGGAAAGGATTTATTAATATGTTTAAAAATGGCAGCAAGGAAAATGTTGGTGAGGTAGCCTGGTTTATCTCATTTAATCCAATCTGAATCTAAAGAGAAGAAGAATGCAAATATCAATGCTGTCATATAATAAGAACAAATACTTCTACAAATACTCTTGTTGCCAGCTGTGCAGGCCAGGACCAAGTTCATCGCTAACATATCTACACCCTGTCCTGGCACAGTACAAGCACAACCCCTCTAGGGAGCACTCTTGCTGCACAGTTTTCTCTTATCCTACCCGTAACAAGGCTTCAGTCTGTGCTAGACAGTGTCCTTCTGCAATCAGGATGATGCCTCGGCTGGTCAAATAGTTATCACTCTAGCTGCTTTAAAATTCAGTAAATTGAAAATGCTGCAGAAAACTAACATCTGACAGTAAACATAGCAACAGGTATAAATTATTTGCTCTTTAAAGGGTACTGAAATCTGCACCTGGTATCACTCAGAGTGCATTTATAACACCTCTGGAGCTTCTGAGGGAGAATCATGATGAAGCACAACATGTCTACTTTGCAGCTACCCCCTAAAATGGATGTAACATAGCACCAATTAACTTGTTGCTTTGAATGGGTTTACTGACACACCTACCCATGCCCTAAGGCAATGACAATAGCTCCATTTCCAGGTGCAGCTCACACAGAATAGGGGTGGAATATTCCCTAGCAAATTCTGCAAGTGGTTTATTTTGTGGCCAATCACTGTATACAAATAACCTAATTATAAAGCTTAACAA